TACCCCGTCCGGTCTGCAGCCGGTCCCGTGCAGGTCGGGTCGGGTTTGGTGTTACTTTGCGGTGCACCGCACACTGGACCAGGAGGCGCGTGTGCCCGTCTCAGCCCAGGCTCCCTATCACATCTGCCTGTGCTCTGGCTCTGGGTCCCTACTTCTGCCGCCACGCAGAAACATACCCCCTCTCCACGGGTTTACGTGGCAGTGGTGGCAGGGTCAGCTGTCCTCCTGCCGTGCCGTCCCTTCGATAGGTAACTGGAGCCCTGACCAGCCACAGGCCTCCTGCTTCTATTCTTAGCCCCATGTGTCCCCCTCAGGCCGAGAGGAGGAGGCACGGCGGCCTCGTCACCCTGGCTGCTCTCCCGGTCATCAGATTTTCTCTGAGCTGCTGTGACGGCAGTGGTGCCACCATGGCCGGATTTCCAGCCCTTGTCATGTCCAGCCGGGTTTAGAAGGAGCTGGATTCCCCTCTACGTCCGCAGTGGGTGGTGGCTTCTCCCCACTTTCCCCAGAGGGCCGGCTTGGAGATGAAGGGGCGGCCTGGGGCTGCACAGCCGTGCTGTCTGCTGAGAGGTGGCCGTCCCCGCTCCACTCCCAGAATCCGAGGCTGGGGCAGTTGAGGGGACGCGGGGCGGGTAGAGTGAAGCGGGGTGTGGAGACCACAACCTTCAGGGTTCCAGGTTGCCAGCACCCCAGTGCAGCGGGGCTGGTGCTCCCTGAGGGCTCCGGACGTGGGGTACCAGCCCCCTTTGCAGGTGGGGAGGGGCTTCGGTGCCACAAGCCACAGCCACCCTGGTGATGGGGTGCAGGACTTGACTGAGGTGTCTGGTCCTACAGCCTGGGAGAGGCAGGTGCTGAAGGGCCCTTCAGGAGGCAGGGCGTCGCCGGCTGTGGCTGTTGGGAGCTGGGTCCTCTGGGGTCCGATGTGCTGCGCCCTCAGCGGGCCTCCCCAGGCTGCCTGTCACCCACGTGGTTATCCAGTCCCGTGGCTCCTGCCTTCTCGTCCCCCCACCCCGTCGTCTTCGATGGGGGCGCAGTGGAGGAAGTGCGACTGAGCATTGGCGTATGGACCCGTTTGCTGCCCAGGTCCCTCACCTGGTACCATCCTTCGTTTCATTCAGCAAAAGGGAAGGAGAAGCCGGCCTCAAGCACTGTCCTTGGTCACCAAGCTTCTGAGGACAGCCACGGCCCCACTAGGTCACAGTAGGAACTGTGACCTTGTTTGTGGGGTTCCTCTGGCTGCAGGGTGTGCCCTGGTGCCTGGCGGGGAGGAAAAGTGGAAAGAGCAAAAGGTGGCGGCCGGCGGCTGCCAGCCTGGTCCTCTTCCCCTCTTCTCCTCCAGACACCACCTCGGTGCTGTCATGTGGAGTGGGCCAAGGGCCGCCATGCAGCCAGTCCGCTCCTGGTGTTCTGGTCGGGAAAGCGGGCAGGGCCTGGGGGAGGTGCCGCTGCCGTCCTTGGGGACCTGGCGCTGGGGAAGACGGGGTGGAGCCGTCTTGGAGGGACGCCAGCCCTGTGCGGGTGAGGTGCCAGTCAGTGGGGTCCCTGCCTGGGTGGGCAGGGAGGCAGCGGGGGGTTGGCCGGGTCTTCTTGGATTTCTGAGCATGTGGGGTTTGCGCTGCCAGAGCACTTAGTGGATCCGCGGAGGGTGCAGGGTTGGAAACTCACCCCAGGATTCAGGGACCTCCCAGAGTCACTAGGCAGATCTAGGCCTGCTGGTGCACACCTGGAATCCCAGCACTCTGGGAGGCTGAGGCTGGGCGGTCAAGAGTTTGAGCCCCACCCAAGCAACTCCAGGGCCTTATCTCAAAACAGATGAAAACTGGCCGGGGACCGTGGGCCTCTGAGGGCTGACACAGAGCTTGTTGATCAGGGAGGGGTACTGGGGCTCCCGCCAGGGTCTGTCCCTTGAATGGCTTCCATCTGCACTGCTTGGACCGTGCCTGAGGGACAGGGCCACAGAAATCGGCCGTGCTGTCCAGGGCGGCGCCTGGACACTGGGCGGTGTGTCGGGGCCGCGCTCCATGGTCCCCCCACACTGCCCCCTCACAGGCCTCGGTGGGGTCCAGGGTCAGGCTGGGCTCTGGGGGCCTCGAGGTAGCTGCAGGCCCCTCACGTGGGCCCGAAAGGCCGCATCTTCCTCTCTGCTGCTGCCTCCCGCCTGCCAGGGGGAGAGGAGCCCTCTGCAGTGGTCGTGACCCTCTCTGTCACAGGGACTCGGTACCACAGCTGAGTCAGGGTGCCCAGTGTCAGCTTCCTGTGCACCAGCGGGGGCTCTTGTGGGAGCCCTGTGCTCGCCCTGCCGGCCACCCTTTCCGCAGCTTCTCTCGTGGTCACCCTGATGTGCGGGGCCTCCCTCGTGCAAGGCGAGGCGAGCCGAGCTGCACCCCGTCTTTGGGTTGTTCCCTATCGCATGCTGGATCTTTGCACGCTAGCAAGGAAGCAGAAAAGAGTTTAAATACTGGAGAGCTACATTGGTTTCATGATGTTCCTGAGCTTTAATTTTTCACTGTTATGTGCAAAATTTGGCCTCCTGAGCAGTTTTTAACCTTGCTGCTGGTAGGTAACTTACGTGTCACAGGTGGGCTTGTGTGCAAGTTCAGCATCCAGGTGTGAACAGCCCCGCGGGTGGGTTCCACGCTTGTGTGTGCCCTCGTGTGCACCCCGTTGGTGCAGAACTCTGTCCCGTCATCATGGGTGAGCTGGCCACATCACTGACAGGGTCCTGGCGCCTTGCAACCCTGGGCTGTGACCTCCGCCCTGCGTCGCCCTCCGTGCCTGGCCGGAGGCCTGGGTGTTCGTGAAGACCCCGGCCCTGGCAGCCCAGGAGCCGTGACAGCATCAGTGCGGCCGGCCAAGGTCACTGCTGACCCGTGGCACAGCTCCCTCGGGGGCTCCCTCCCTCTGGCCGGTGACCAGCCTGCTGCTGGCAGTGCTGCCGCGAGGCGCCGCTTCTCCTGTGTGGTGAGTGGTGGCCACAGTGCCCTGTGAGGCCGGAGGCCCTCCTCAGGCTGCCAGGTGACACCTGTGCCAGCCATGCCGCCCAGGCCTTGCTCTCTGGGCGTCCCAGCTCCTCCCCAGGTCACTGCGGCCTGAGTTGGCCCAGAAGACCACTCAGGGTGGCAGGAGACATGCTTCGGGAGGTCAGGCTATTTCTTTGTCCCTGAGCCTGCCAGGCGGGTCCTGCTTTTTTCCTGTGCAGTGCGGACACAGAACGGCACCCTGAGTCCCCAAGCTCACTCCTTCCTGCAGACAGTGCAGGTGGCCGGGCTCAGGGCTCTGTTCCAAGGCAGGAAGTGGGGTTGCTGCCTATCCCTAGGCAGCCGCAGTGCTGGAGGGAAATTGGATGTTGGTCCCAGGTGACTCCTGTGCCTCCTGCCGGCCTGGGAGAGCGGGGTCTGTAGCTGCCTCTTCGGAGTCGGCCCTGCAGAGCCCCCTCCCTGGTGCTTACCCTCTGGGCCCATAGGAAGTGCCGTGTGTGCCACCCTGGTGTCTGGAGCGGCCCAGTGGCCACAGAACCACTGGCCAGCCGGTCGTGCCCGTCCCCGAGTTCCCAAGTCACCACTGTCCTGTGCTGCTCTGGCATTGCAGGGGCCCCTCAGAAACCCGGGACACCTGTCACTAGGAGAACCTGTGGGCGCAGCTCGGGTGGCTTCCCTGAGGTGACCCTGTGGTGCCCATGCCCACGTGCGTGCCGAGTGTCAGTTGCTTGTCCAGAACCGGGGAGCTTGTTTTAAGTTTTGAGGTAATGGTCGTAGAGTCATTCATCAAATGCTAGCTGGTTTTGAGAGCCACTCCCTTGGGTCAGCACTGTGGATTCCTAGAACACAGTGAAGCAGGAAGCCTGGGGCCTGTGCAGAAAGCGCAGAGGCTGCCCGGCTGAGGGAAGGCGTCCCGACTGTGACATTTAAGTGCCCACACTTCCCTCCTTGTTCTTCGGGGAAGGGGCGGCCCTGTTCCGCGGCCCTTTCCTTTGGCGCTGTCCCGAGGAAACACTTGTTCCTGGCAAGTGAGTCACTTCCTGCTGTGCCTTCAGCAGCTGCAGGAACCCCGCCTGGAAGACGGTTCCAGGTGAAGGAGGCACCCACTGCAGCTGCTGGCTGGGGCGGGAGCCATCCTGCTCCACCCATCCTGGCCAGAGGAGGGCTTGTGCACCCTTGTTGGGGTGTCTCGGGGCTCCCAAGACCCTTCCGGAGCCCCTGCACCAGGTCCCAGGCTCCTGGGCATGGCCGGGTCGGTCCCCTGTGCAGTTCCAAAGCTTACAGAGTTGGAGCCTCCAAGCTGCACCCAGACCTCCATGGCCCCGCACCTGACTCCCTGACAAGAACAGACCAAGGGAAAGCTGGCAGCCTGTCCTGCTGCCAGTGGAGCTTGCCTAGGGGTGTGAATTCGTGTTGGGTTTTTTTTGTTTTTGTTTTTGTTTTTTTCCGGTACCGGGGATTGAACTCAGGTCCTTGCGCTTGCAAGGCAGGCCACCGAACTACTGAGCTAAATCTCTGGCTCGTGTTGGTTTTTAATGTGTGTGAGGTTTCTGGCTCCTCGGGATGGGAGGTGGGTCCAGGCACCGTATCTGGGGGCTTCTCCGGGGCGCCCTGCACCTGAGTCCACTTCCCTGGCCTCTCTGGCCCTGACACAGTAGGCTGCAGCCCCGGAACCAACCTACAAGTTTGTAGCTTGTTGCCCTGAATGCTATTATCTTCCTGGGCTTTTATTTTATTTTTGAGACGAGGTCTCACTGTGTAATCCAGGCTGGCCTTGAACTCACCATGTAGCTGACGCTGGTCTCCAACTTGATCCTCCTGCCTCAGCCTCCTGATTGTGTGAGCCCCCACAGCTGACCCAGAGAGCCTGTGGGGGGCATCGCGGCTGGGTCCCTTTGCTCCTTCCTGCATTGTTCCTGGGGTGAAGGTGCAGGCTTGGGCCTCTCAGACCCCGGTCCTGGGGCAGAGATGTCCATACATCTCTCCGCCCAGCCCAGCGAGGCTCACCCCTTGTCTCTGCAGTCGGAGGCCCCCTCCCTACCGAGTCCTCTCTGCACAGCATTGGACCCCGCCCCACGCTCCCAGGGACCACGACAGCCAGAGGCACTGGCCATGGCAGGTCGGGGAGGCGCAGCTCGGCCCAACGGACCAGCTGCAGGGAACAAGATCTGCCAGTTCAAGCTGGTCCTGCTGGGGGAGTCAGCGGTGGGCAAGTCCAGCCTCGTACTCCGCTTCGTCAAGGGCCAATTCCACGAGTACCAGGAGAGCACCATTGGAGGTGAGTGGTGGGGTGGAATGGGGGTCGGGAGGCAGCTGCAAGGGCCAGCGCCTCTGCAGCTCCGGAGCTCCAAGCATGTGGACAGGGCCCTGCTGGTCAGCACTGTCATGGCCAGGCCCAGCCTGAGGCTCGGAGTTGCCTTCTCTGTGCTTGCTGGGGACAAACATCCGCCTCAGCAGCGCTCCTCATGCTTCCTGTGACTGCCCAGTCTCGCTGACACAGGAAGTGGGGTGATGGCCAGTGTGTGGGAGGGAGGCAGGGAGAGCTGCCTGCTCCTGAGAGCTGCGGGCCAGGCAGGCAGAAGGGACCTCGGCTGCCTGTCACAGCCTCAGAGCCCTCCTGGGGCACCAGCCTAGCGCCCCATGTTTCCAGCTGGGCCCGAATCCCCATGGCCCAAGACGGTCAGAGCTCTGCATGAAACAGGTTGGGCCTGGGCCAGAGCAGGGGCAGGCGGGGCCAGCAAGTGACCCCGGGAGGCCGAAGGTCAGGGCCGCCATGGGCTGAAGCCGTCCACTGCGTGGTCCGGATGAGCCTGGCTCCGGCAGCTGTGCACTGGCCCTGACTGCGGCCCACCCTGCCGCCAGCGGCCTTCCTCACGCAGACCGTCTGCCTGGACGACACGACGGTCAAGTTTGAGATCTGGGATACGGCCGGCCAGGAGCGGTACCACAGCCTGGCGCCCATGTACTACCGGGGCGCCCAGGCGGCCATCGTGGTCTACGACATCACCAACACGGTGCGGCCCGCCCCT